GGCCGGCACGTCCCGGTCGGGCTGCGGCGGAGCGAGCCGGGCCAGCTCTGCAGAAGGCGGCGGCTGGCTGGCCGGGACGGTCACATCCCGCTGCAGGGGCCGGCGGAGTAGCCGCACTGCCTTCCGCACCGGGACTCAGGCCAGCGGCCAGGCCGCGCCGGCACCGCCCCCTGCTCAGGGACAGACTACGCGGCCCGTCCGAGCTCTAGGGGCCCCCGCAGCCCCGCGGCCCGCTCCCGCTACGCCTCCGCCTGCCCTCTGCCCGCAGCTCGGTTCCGCGCTGCCCGCCGCGCCGGGTCCGCGCCGGGATGGGGTAGGGGCAGCGCCACGGAGTCGGGCGATGGGCCGCCCTCTGGGCACCGTGCAGCCCCCCGAGGCCTGACCGACCGCGAGGACCGGCGGAGGTGGGTGTGGGCCGGGCAGAGCCGCCCGGGTGATGCGGAGGCGGGGAAGGCGTGGGGAGAAGGGGGGCTCCGGGGCTGCTGTGGGCGGTGGGGAGCCCGGGAGAGCTGCTGCCACCCGTGCGTTCTGGGCAGTCCTTGACCCCCACCCCCGCCCCCCACAACTCCTGCTACCTCCAGGAGCCCCGCCTGGATGTTAAGCGGAAGCCCCAGTGCCTCCCAGCGGACTCGGTGGGGACCATGGCTTCGCTGATGCCCCTCTCCCCATATTTAAGCCCCACGGTCCTCCTGCTGGTCAGTTGTGACCTGGGCTTTGTGCGAGCAGGTGAGTAAAGGGGTAGTGGGGTTAACCAGAGCTAGTCCGTGGATGGAACCTGTTAACCTGTTCACTCTGACACCCACAGACCGGCCTCCCTCTCCTGTGAATGTGACAGTCACTCACCTCAGAGCCAACTCGGCCACTGTGTCCTGGGACGTCCCAGAAGGCAACATCGTCATTGGCTACTCCATTTCCCAGCAAGTATGAATCACCCTTCTGCTCCCTCAATCTGTGTCCTTGGATCTCTGAACATTCCTTCAGTTACCCCCAGCCCAGACCTAAGCTCCCCTCCCAGTGGTGGGGAAATTTGGGAGCTGGTGTTCCCTGGCTCAAGCTGCCCTTTTTATCCTACTCCATGGAGTGCTTGGAGGTTCAAGAGTCCTGGAACTGGTGTGAGACTGCCCTCCTGTCCCATCATCTCCCCACAGCGACAGAATGGCCCTGGGCAGCGTGTGATCCGGGAGGTGAACACCACCACGCGGGCCTGTGCCCTCTGGGGCCTGGCTGAAGACAGTGACTACACAGTGCAGGTCAGGAGCATCGGCCTTCGGGGAGAGAGCCCCCCAGGGCCTCGGGTGCACTTCCGAACTCTCAAGGGTTCTGACCGGCTACCCTCAAACAGCTCAAGCCCAGGTGAGGGTCTCAGCTATTCTCCACTCCCGAAAGCTTTGGATTCTTGGGCTTTTCACCTGGCCTTTAGCCTCTTGTTTACTTCCGCCAAACAAGCCACAGTCTAGCTCAGATGAATAAAAGGATGATTTAATCCATCATACTGCCAAGAAACGAAAGAAAAAGGTTGGCAGGGGACTGGGTATAAACAGGCTGATAATGAATCGTTTGGGAGAAGGGCTTTTAAGCTTCCTTTTACCCACCCTCAGTTCCCAGCCGCAGCAGCCTGCGTGAATACTCACCAGCAGCCTTCCTGCTTTTTGGTCTCTAACTACCCGTCCACCAACAGCTTCCTAGAGAGGGTCTACCAGGGGCAACCCTGGCCCCAGACTCTCCATCCTTACCTGTCTGCATAGAAGAGCTTTGTGGCCGTTCCCCATAACCTGGAGTCTATCTCCTCCTTCTCAGGTGACATCACAGTGGAGGGTCTGGATGGAGAGCGACCACTGCAGACGGGGGAAGTGGTCATCATTGTGGTGGTGTTGCTCATGTGGGCCGGTGAGTGAGCAGCTGGATGGGGGACCGAGGATTGGGGGAGCGGGGCTCAGTGAAGGTGGGAGATGGCGAAGGTTGTCGGGAGAAAAGGCAGGGAGGGAAGTGGAGCAGGGAGATGCTTAGTGGAGTGGGGTGAGCAGAAGTTTGAGGAGAGGAAGGTTAAGAGGGTGGTGCTCACACATGAACACCAGGAATTCAAGGGTTTTCTTCTCAGATTCTCTAGAAACTGTGTGGGTATCTCACTGCCCTTCAAGGCTGTGAGTGGGGAAGTCAAGATCAAGGCGCAGATTGTATTGTTGTGTTTCAGCTGTAATTGGGCTATTCTGCCGTCAGTATGATATCATCAAGGACAACGACTCCAACAACAACCCCAAGGAGAAGGGGAAGGGGCCGGAACAGAGTCCTCAGGGAAGGCCGGTGGGGACAAGACAGGTGATGTGGGGCCAGTGAGGGAGGGAATGGTGATTTTGCTTCTAGGAGCAGTCAGGGAAGGGGAGAAGGCCAAAGAGGGGCAGGAAATGAGGGAAAATGGATATTTGGGATGGAGGAGGCTCTTACCTTCCTGAAATTAGAGACTCAAGCCATTTTCTTTTGCAGAAAAAGTCATCATCCATCAACACCATCGATGTATGAGTGAAGAAACAGAACCAGAAAACAGATGCACTAACACCCTGGGGATGGGGATAGGGTCAGGGAGCACCTCAGATGGTGATCTGCTCAGGACTGAAGGATCCCACAGTCTCCTAGAGGGTAATGACACTCCCACAATCTCAGGCCTGGTACCCGTCCTCTTTCCACTGTGAGCGGGGCCAGAAGGTAGGTCTCTTAGGGTCTGTGCCCCTGGACCTGGGGAATGGCTATCAGATGGGATATGTCCTTCCATCCCCCAGGTCCAGGGGAGAGTCACTTGTTCAACCGTATCCCACTAGGTCTCAAATGGGGCCCCCATTCCACCTGCATCAGGACTCTTGGCATCCCCAGCTGCCCCCACATCTTGCCTCTGGGTCTCAGAGAGGGGTGTTTCTTTGGCTACTTCCCCTCCCCCCAGCAATTAAAAGGAATTGTCTGGGTCTGGAGGCAGATGCTGCACTGCACTACTCCAATGTCTTCCATGGAGCCTCAGGTGCTCCCCCTCTCACCTGGTAGCCCCTCCAGCTGCTGGTGATCTCACCCCTTGGACATTTTTCCAATAAAGGTTCTTGGACAAACTGAAGCTGACTGTATGGTATACTGTATAGTATGCTGAAGACATTTCCCCACTGTCTCTCCCCTGACAACAAGGGCCTCTCACACCACCACCAACTCGACAGGAGCACTCTCATTATTTTAAGGTGTTTGTTTTGATTCTCTAGCCTGGAATGGGTGGGGAGAGGCCAGAAATGAGTGTAGAAAACTGGAGCCCTAGTTCCTTTTGTTTTGTTCAGTGAGAAAGGGGCGAAAGAAAAGAAGGGGGGATATAAATTCCCCTGCAGCAGTGGAAACGAAGATTATACCACATGAGAGGGGCCAGTAACCTTTTTATGTTCACTGCCCACATTGACACCCAAGCTCTTCACCATTTATTTCTCTGACTCCTCCATCAACCTTGAGTTAATTTCCAGAAAAGGACTGAACAGTGTCTTGGGACAAATGCAAGAGCAGCTACACTAATGGATCCTTCAGTGCCATGTGCTCCTATCCTGTGCATTCCCGTACCTAGTCTTCCCTGCCCTCGCTTTTCCTTTTGTCTCTGTCTGTCTCTGTCTCTGTTCATTCGGTCAAAGCCAATAATAACTGTAAGGTGTAAATGAATTTATATTCACTCTCTGCCACTATATCCAGAGGAGGATTATGGAAATAAAACTGAGGGGTTGGAACTCCCCTGTCAAAAGACTTATACTTTGGGCTCTGGGGCTACTTGTTTCCTGTGAAAATAGAGGCTTTCCTCTACTCTTTCCTAAATTCCAAGGCGGGGGGTGTGATGGTGCCAGTGAGAGAAATACCTGTTGACGTTTGCAACCACTGTGGGGGAAAAGCTGTAGAACCCAGACTGTGTCTGGACAGCATATGCTACACTTTCTGGAGAATTATAGGTCTTCTCAACTTCGGATCTTTCCAGAGGAGGTGCATGAATAACTCTCCTTTTCTCCATCTCAGTCTCTCTGGTATGTTACAAGAATTTAGACCAATAATTCTGAAAGGGACCCCAATCCAAACAGATCAATAAGTCAATATCCTTGTTACTTAACCAAGCTCCAACCCCAGGTATCACAAGACTTAACCCTACCCTATCAGGTGAGCCAAACTCAGGTTTGCCCTCTGCCCTGAACCATAAAAGTATCCCGATCTGGGCAGCAGTCTTTAACCCACTGCTACCCGATTCTGAAGTAGTACCTCTCACTGGCCACTGGTTCCGAAACACTCATCTCTCAGACTCTGGACACTTCAGTTCTTGGGATGGAAGTGGCATGGGGTACAGAAGCATGGCATGGAGATCGGGAGCTAAGAGTTCAGAACGAATAAACGCACCAGCTCTGGGTTGAATTCCATTTACATCCTTTACTGACTGTTAGTTTGGGTAAGTGACCCCTCTAATCCTGAGTCTTCTGGTATGTAAAATGGGACTAATAATGCCATCCCTTTCAAAAGGTGTCTTTGGGATTAAATGAGAGCGCATATACGACCCTTTGCACAGTACCTGGCAGACGCATACTGAGTATTCAGTTAGCTATCATTATTAGCTTTGTGATCCCGTGCAAATCGTATAACCTATTTGGGTTCAATTCCGTCCGCTGCAAAACGTATGAAAGCAACTGCCCTGCTTTCCTCCAGGGTTGCGAGAATTAAAAGGACGAACCTAGCCACACTTTACTCGCCTCAGGGCGCGAGAAAGACCGCGCTTACGTAGGACCTCGAGTTTGCGGAGGGCTTGTGGGCGTGGCTCGAGCTTGGGTTTGCAGACAAAGACACGATTGGTTGAGGAGAGGATGCGAGTCCTCTCGGTGTCCCGCCCTAGACCTCACTGCGCCTGCGCACGTCCTGTTTGCTTCGCAGCGAAGCTACGTGATGACCTTGCGGAGTGTGTTGCGCTCTGGTCGCGTTTGCGTCAGCGGCAGTCGCTGCGGCTGCGTGGCGGGTTGTCCAGGTAACCACGGGAGTTGTCGCTGACTGGTGGCATCTGAGAGACAGGTGTTCGTCATGCAGTTGAAGCACCTGAGAACCCTGCTGAGCCCTCAGGTGAGGAGTTGCGTGCCTCTTCCCAACCCCGCCCGCCTTAACGTTCCAAGAAAAGTGAGGGAACTGAAATTTCATGATGTGGAGCGCCTCCTGTTATGCGGAAGACTGAAGGCTCTAGCGATGATGGGACTCTGCTCGGTCGATAGTGTGCAGTAGTTGAGACGGACCGCTAACCGCGGTAGCTTTCATTCCGTCTCTTTTAACATCAGTTGTGTACGAGGCCCCGTGCTGGGCGCACATGTAAACAACGAACCTAAGTCTGCACCCGAATAAACAAGCGCTTTAGGTGCAAGCCCCAAAAAGGGAGTGCAGAAGACCTCACGTTCGTTCTGATGATGAAGATCTCAGATTCAGAAGAGGCTGGGCACTGGGGGAGGAACCATGCTAAAGAAAGGCTGGGTTTTGGAGCTCGGAGACCAGCGTTCCAAGTCCTAGTGCCAGCTCTACTTTAAATAAATGATCCAGTACCGCTGATTTTAGCCCTTGTCACACAATCTCTCTGAGCGCTCACCCAACTACTTCATTTGGAAAATGGGAGTAACAATAATAGCAACCTGAGAGGATTTGGAGGAAGAGTTAAAGGAAGTAATGTACACAAAGGCCATTGCGAACTGAAAAGCAGTGTAAAAACTGATAGACAAGGGAGGAGAACATTCAAAATTCAAAGGACAAATTCATACAAAGCTAATGACAATATCTGCCATAGTGAATGTTTCATACGTAGTAAAGCAGCGTAAGTTAAGTAGTTAGGATTGGGGTTTGTGGAGTCAGACATGTGGATTTAAATCTTGGTTCTGCCACTTATAAACTGTGTGTGTAAACTTGAGCAAATTACTTAACTTTTCTGAACCTCAGGTTCCCCATTTGTAAAATATGCATAATAATGGCATCTGACCCTGCGTTATGAGGTAAAAGGAGAATGCATATCGAGCACTTATCAAAATGCCTAGTCTATGGTAAGATCTTGTTAAAGGTTAGCTTTTACTATTCTATTCCCTACCCCATTTAATCCTCATGACAGTGCCGTGAGGAAGGCTTCACAGAGGATGTGGCATTAGGAGAATAGAGGGAAATTAGAACAAAAGAGAGATGTGCTCATTGCTCAGTTAACTGCCCCTGAAACTGTAATTTAAAAATTCCTTTACCCTAATGGAATAATTGGAAATGAAAACCTCCTTCAGTCTTTCAAAATAAGATGTCATGAGGCAGGGAAGGGCGAATGCCCGTGATGGGCAAAATGATGAAGGAAGATGATGAGCAATGGTTATTGATGGAGCCCTCAGCCCTTCAAACCTAATTTAATCAAGAGTTGGAGGGTGGTAAAGGTGGTGGTATGGCTATTTTCTGACTCTGAGGATTTTGATGAAAAAAAAAGAGGGCTTTTTTTTTTTTTTTTTAACTTCTGACTTTGGAGGTAGGTGGGTTAGGAGTGAAAAGTAACAAAGTTTGAAACCAGAGCTCTAGAGCCCAAGTAATTAAATCACACAATTGGAGCAGAAGCTAAATGTTTTATTTCAAGGAGGGAAGTCCTTAGTGCAGAACCATTGAGGACCAGGGCTGGTGGTGGACAGATGTGGAAAGAATAATTCATTGGGAGACAACCACTTCTAAATTGGGTTTCTGAGCAGTGCATAGTTTTGGGGGGAAAAAAATAAAAAAAACTAACCAGGTGGCATTTTCATCCTAAGTCTCAACTCTGATTGTCTTACTCCCCATTCCGGAACTTTCACTGTCTCTCCCTTTCCTACCAAAGAAGCCCAAATTCCTTGGCCAAATTTCACAGATCTTTCTTGAGCTGGCCTCACTGTTTTTCCTGCCTTACCTCCTCTGTTCTGTTTGCAAGGTAGTTTCAGCTAAATTAAATCACTGTTTCTTGACCAGACTTGCCTTTGCTCATGTAATTCCTTCTACCTCGGATAAGTACCCCCATTTAACTGCATCCATTCTTCAAAGCTTAAAGTTGATCAGTTAAACATAAAATTATCTCAGGCTTCTCCAAACTGTTACCATGCTTTGTATGTGCCTTTCTAATGGGATTTTTCCTGTTTTTGTACCATCTTATTAGCCTGGGGCAGGGACCATATTTTGCTCTTTGTCTCCCTCTCAGCCCTTGGCCATGTGCCTTTCTCAATAAGGTATTCAAAAAATATTGAATGAATGGCTAAAGACCAAAACCTATTTAAAAAAAACTTATCAGGGGCGCCTGGGTGGCTCAGTTGGTTAAGCGACTGCCTTCGGCTCAGGTCATGATCCTGGAGTCCCTGGATCGAGTCCCGCATTGGGCTCCCTGCTCAGCAGGGAGTCTGCTTCTCCCTCTGACCCTCTCATGCTCTCTCTATCTCATTCTCTCTCTCAAATGAATAAATAAAATCTTAAAAAAAACCAAAAACTTATCAGACCAATTGAATTTATTTCAGTTGCAGTCCTGGGATATGAGGGAGCAAGGCCATTGCAGGGGCACATTGGTACAGTTGATTCAGCAAGTCACCTCTTAGTGTATTTGCATTATGGGTTTCTAAAGCACCTTGTTCTCCTGGTCCAGGGTTTTATAGCCTTGGAGACCAGGATACATCACAGGCATCTCTTTGTTTTAAGGACTATCATGGGGGAAATTGACCAAAGTCACACTAGAACTAAAGGAACTAGAAATGCTTTTGTCATTCTAGATGAACACCTGGGTTTATTTTTGCCCCCACTGCCTCTGCAGGATGGAGCTGCAAAGGTGACCTGCATGGCTTGGTCCCAGAACAATGCCAAATTTGCTGTCTGCACAGTGGACCGAGTGGTGTTGCTATATGATGAGCATGGGGAGCGGAGAGATAAATTCTCCACCAAACCAGCTGACATGAAGGTGAAGAGAGTACTCTGTGTGTACTTAATCTGTTGATGGGGCCTCATGAATCTGGAAAACTTCTTAACCAACTTCCCCAGCCATCGGCATAGGAAATGGCCTGGCCCTTCTTTTCTCAGGATAAATCCCTCAAACTCATTACAGTCACACATACACCTTTTCTTCTCTTCTCTCTTTCATGTGTACTCATTACCTCTTTTTCTTTTCTTTCTTTTAACTCCTAGTATGGCAGGAAGAGCTATATGGTGAAAGGCATGGCTTTTTCTCCTGATTCCACTAAAATTGCCATAGGACAGACCGACAACATCATCTATGTGTACAAGATTGGAGAAGATTGGTGAGGATAGAGACTGGGAGATGGGGTGACCTGGAAAAGAAGGGGAAGGCAGGAAGAAATGCCTCCCTGGGAAAGAGGGAGTAGAGAAGATGATGGTCCAGGCTGGGACATGGAAGGCAAAGGCCTTCCAGAGTCTGATGCTGCTTCTTTACCTTTGCCTGCCCTATGTGTTCTGAGATCCCATCCCCGGTGGAATCAGCCTAAGGTCAACATGAGACCCTTTGAGGTTCTGGGGAGCCCTTGGTGATACAGCATCTTTGTTACTGTTCCAAAGCTGTTTAGGCTCCGTTTTATGCCTCTTTTCAGGGCTCCTGCGGAATGGTAGGAAACACTAGAGGGGGCAGGGAAGGTATCTGCTCTTTCTTCCCTTCCCCCAGCATCATGCGTGACAATTTATTTATGAAAGTGTTTTTAATATGCTTTCTCTCCTTTTATTTGGCAGGGGTGACAAGAAAGTCATCTGTAACAAATTCATCCAGACGGTAAACTTCAGACCTGTCTCTGGGAGATTAGGATGAACAAACATGTATCAATATATCTACTTATAAATGTAACCAGGAGTTGCATTTTTCAACATGTGAATCTGACCTTTCCAACTGCAAGGATGGTGCTGCCTTGCTGCTCATCCTCATCTGCTTTCCTTCTTGAGCCCAGTCATGTCCTCTCTTCTGCTATAGGCAACTGGGGTGGTGGCCTGTGGCGGGGGGTTCAGTTTGTTATAAATGTGCTAGGCTACATGGACAGGGTTATCCTTTTCATGATTTCCTCTTTACAGAGTGCTGTCACGTGTCTGCAGTGGCCAGCAGAGTACATCATTGTCTTTGGACTGGCTGAAGGGAAGGTAAAGTAGGAAGAGAAACACAGGAGAGGTTGTGGGTGGGGATAATGGTCTCTCTCCAGAGAGAGAGAAATGTGGTTAAACTTCTCCCTTAGGGTCAAATTGTATGTTGGGGGAGAAAACAGAAGGACCAGTTTTTTGTTATTTCTTTTTCCTTAGGATCTGGGTGGGATTGAAAGTAGCTTAACCAGACTTGTATCCATTTTCCCATTTTCAGGTTCGTTTAGCAAACACTAAAACTAATAAATCATCTACCATCTATGGGACAGACTCTTATGTGGTATCACTGACGACAAAGTGAGTAAGGAAGAACATATCCCAGGAGCTTGGAAATGTAGGAAGAAGCGATGGGGATGTCGGGACTGGGAGACCATAATATGGAAGATGGGGAGGACTGGTAGCAGGGAGCCCAGGTAGGGTAATGTTTGACAGAGAAGGGGGATTTCTTGGTGAGACAGAATAATCTCTTTCCTCCTCTTCCCCTTTTATAGTTGCTCTGGGAAAGGAATTCTCTCTGGTCATGCAGATGGTACCATTGTTAGGTATTTCTTTGATGATGAAGGCTCTGGAGAGTCACAGGTATGACTAACGGATGCTGTGGGATGGGGGTAAGGAAACCCAAAATCCCTCCTAGAGGAGGTTGAACGTTAAGATTGAGGTGCATGGGGGAGGTGGCTAAAGGAGAGAGAGAGAGAGAGAGGCACATTTGGATGCAGCCATAGAGAGAATTTGTATTAAGGCCAGAGCTTAATATTTGTGGGCAAGGGGAAATCAAGTGGAAAGTATTCTGAGAGTAAGGGAAAGTGAAAATTATTCTCATCTATGTAAAAAGTATATTTATGTGTATAAATTCATGGAAAAAAAGTCATTTGCTTTCAAGAGGGAAAAGGGAAAAAGGTGGGAGATAAAAGGAATGTTCATGTTTTACTTTGTATAATTCTCTATTGTTTGAATAACTTACGTTAAGAATTACTTGTATAGGGGCACCTGGCTGGCTCAGTTAGTGGAGCATGCGACTCTTGATCTCAGGGTTATGACTTCAAGCCCCACGCTGGGTGTAGAGATTACTTAAATAACTAAGACTTTAAAAAAAGAATTACTCATGTAATAATTAAATTTATTTACCCTAAAAAGAAAGAGTCATATGCTCCCTGTGGGCCTACCCAGGGTTAATTAATGTGTAGGATTTTTAAAGAACTCTAACATATAAGTATTTTGAGGTTTCCTTTTGAGCACAATGTCAGTAAGTGTGTACGTATGTGATACATATGTGTGTGAGAGTATAAAACAGAAAGACAGTTTGTGAAGTCCTCCAGATTAGGATGTGTTGGGGTGGGAAGATGTTGGGAGGACGATTTATAGAGAGTAGGATGGTCAGAGTGAGTGTGTCAGGGGCTAGAAAGGAGAAATTCCGGGCTGGAGGTGTCAGAGTCAGAGTGATTGAAACCCTCTATTCTGTCTTAGGGGAAGTTGGTTAACCACCCATGCCCACCCTATGCCTTGGCTTGGGCAACCAACAGCATTGTGGCTGCAGGCTGTGATCGGAGAATTGTGGCCTATGGAAAGGAAGGCCATGTGCTACAAACTTTTGATTACAGCCGTGACCCTCAGGAGCGGGAGTTCACCACAGCTGCCGCAAGTCCTGGGGGCCAGTCTGTTGTGTTGGGAAGTTATGACAGGTGGGTCCCTCTCCACGTGCATCTTCTGCCTACTTTCCCTGTGTACACTCTGCTGTAGCCCAGTTAATCTCAAGCAGAGTAGGAGACTGGATGAGAAGCACGTATATGTTGAAAGAGATCCTCAGGTTTTAATTCACACACTTCCCTTTTCCTGCTCCCACCATCCATTGGCACTCTGGCAATTCCAGAATGCACCAGGATTTTGTGTCTCCATGCCTCTCCCTGGGACTCCACAGTGGAATTCATCTCCACTCTCTTTGTATTACCATTGCTTCTTTTCAGACCACTGGCTTAGTGTTTGTCACATTATATTACACTTTGGTTTTTATAGCTATCTGGCTAAATGGAAACACCCTTGAGAAGAGGGCCTGTTCATTTTGTTTTAATCTCCATTGCCTAAAGTAACATGTAGTACATAATATATGCTTAAGTGTTTGGTGAATGAATGGATGAATGGAGGGATGGATAGATGATGGAACAGTAAATAAACAGCTAGGACCCAGGTCCCCTCATGTCAGCTTTGTCAGCCCTGTCCTTATATCCCCTTCAATCTCATGTGGGTCTCTTCCTTCCTTTTTCTCTGTTTTCTACCATTTTTCTTTTTCCTTATTTCTCTATTGCTAACAGCTCATTTTTCTCACCAGTCATGATCTCCTTTTGTTTTCTCCACTCCCATCACTCTCACCCCATTTTACTTTTGGCTTGATTTTTCCAACTTCCTTCCTTTGAATCTTTTTGTCCTCTCCTATGAGATTCCCTAGGTTGTGTGTTCTCTTTTACTTCCTTTCTTCTCTAATACAGCAAAACTCATTGCCTTCAGTTCCCCACCCATTTCCACTCTTTTGCTCAGCCTCCATCTCTTCTAAAAGCCACCTACTTAATTTCAGACTTAGGGTGCTCAACTGGAGCCCTCGAAGAAGCATCTGGGAAGAGGCAAAGCCCAAGGAGATTGCCAACTTATACACCGTCACTGCCTTGGCCTGGAAACGGGACGGCTCACGACTCTGTGCGGTGTGTTTTACTAGTAATTCCTTTCTGCATGGGTGACTTTCTCCAAACTAGGAAAAATCCAGCCTTATCCTAAAGCACTGTCCCCTGAAACTAGAGTGTCTCTTCCCTTTTGACTCCAACCTAAAAATACGACGTTAAAGGCAGGAAAGAGAAATTCGCACTTTATTGGAAGCCGAAAGAGACAAAGAATTCTGTAGGCAGGGCTGATTTCTCCCTTTCATCCCATCACTATCCTTGAGTCCTGTGATTGCCACCTCTTTCCATCTGGTACTTCCCAAAACTGCCAGCCCTTTTACTGCCAACTCTTCTCTAGATTCTAGAACCGAGGTTTTGAGGGTGTCTCTAGATATCCTCCCCATGCCTGTTACCTTTTATGCTGTCGCTTTCCCTCCTAGGGCACACTCTGTGGTGGAGTGGAACAGTTTGACTGCTGCCTCCGGAGGAGCATTTACAAGAATAAGTTTGAGTTGACATATGTGGGACCTAGCCAGGTAAGCAGCTGATAGCCTGCTGCGCCAAGATCTTGCCAGCGCTCATTCATCCTTGTGATGCTTTCCTACCTTGTGGACACAGCCACAGTGTCAAATTTAGCCCCTGGCAGAGCTGTTCTGGAGAACAGAGTGTATTGGGCAACTCTTTGGCAACTTTCCTGCTGTAGCACTTCCAGCTTATTGTAAGAAAAAATTTAAACACCAGACTTAAAGGGTACAGAGATCGCCACTTACAACGTCCTGGTTTAAAACTTCACTACCTGGGGCGCCTAGGTGGTTCAGTCAGTTAAGCGCTGGACTCTTGATTTCAGCGCAGGTCATGATCAGGCTTGTGAGATCAAGCCCCACGTAGGGCTCTGCACTGGGTGTGGAGCCTGCTTAAGATACTCTCTCTCCCTCTCCCTCTGCCCCAACCCATATCCCTGTCCCTCTCTAAAACAAAACAAAACAAAAAACAAAAACAAGCAAAACAGAAAAAACTTTACTACCTATATGCTGTCAACTGGGGAGTTTAGGATTACGCGGGTGCATAACATTGCTTTAGGGCCTCTGAACTCACTGTGTATGACATTGCAAGGTAATTTCTTAGTTCCTGAGCCCACTTTTCTCTTTTATCTACCTCTGTCCTCTTTTCCTTCCATTTATTTATTATTCATTGGTCCCTTCATTCTTTCTTTTTGTCTTTTTTTCAGATTTTGTTTACCTATTTGAGAGAGAACACACGTGCAGGAGCGGAGGGAGGGGCAAAAGGGGAGGGAGTATACTCGGAAGTGGGGCTCAACCTGGGGCTCGATCCCAGGACCCTAAGATCATGACCTGAACCGAAGGCAGATGCTTAACCAACTGAGCTACCCAGGCACCCCCTCTTTTTTTTAAGATTTTATTTTTAAGTAATCTCTACACCCAACGTGGGGCTCAAACCCACAACTGACATCAAGAGTTGCATGCTTCTCTGACTGAGCCAGCCAGGCACCCCATTCTTTCATTTTCTGTCCATTCTCTATGCATGAGCACTGTTAGGTATTGAGAACACAAAGATAATTATCTGTTTTATATTGTCCCTTAATCAAGAAGATCATTCTAGCTAAGGAGACAGGTATATGAAATGACAGTATAGTACACCATGGTTAAAGTCATCACAAAGATTTTCACAAGAGGTATAGGAATGTAAAGAAAGTGGTTTTACCCCATATGTATTATGTATTATGCGCATTGAAAGAGATCATCTTTGAAAGCATTTCATAAATAGTAAAGCACTATGTGAATGTGAGGTGTCATTTTTACCAACAATAGCCTAGGCTAGGTGAGGAAACAAGATATTAGCTTTGTTTAACACTGTGGAGGTGGGCAGGGGGCACAGCATGTTCACCCCTCTTTTGGGTTGGGGAAAACCTCGGGGAGCTCAGACTTGTACCTTATCAAGGTGATTGTGAAGAACCTGTCATCGGGGACCCGAGTGGTACTCAAGTCACACTATGGCTATGAAGTGGAAGAGGTGAAAATCCTGGGAAAGGAACGTTACCTGGTGGCCCACACATCAGACACGCTGCTGCTGGGGGACCTGAACACTAATCGCCTTAGTGAGGTAGGAACCACAGATGGGGTGGGGGGGAATGGAGCATCTTGAGTTGCTACTTCAGGGGAGCCAGGTCCCTAGGGGGAAGATCTCTGAGGAAAGCTCTAACATGCTGGTGTTGGGGAGTTGGTGGACCTGGGAGTGAGACCCCAGAGGTTTAGAATCCTGGAATGTGAACCCCCACTGTTGGACTGTTTTTACACCATCTCTCAGAAACCTAGAAACCTAGGGCAGAATCTGACGTAGCACCTCTTTTGTGCAACATCAAGGCCTTCCTAAAGTCAATCTCTCTGCCTCCTACCCTGTCCTTCTTTCAGCGTTGTCTTGGATACTTATCCACATTGTTCCTTATGTCTTCTCCCTCCTTTCAGGTAGCTTGGCAGGGATCTGGTGGCAATGAGAAGTATTTCTTTGAAAATGAAAATGTGAGTAGAGCTTGATTAACCATCATCATCTCAGTAAGCCTCCTTCTAGCTCCTATGTTGGAAGGATGGCAAGTGGCAAGGGGTTGAGGAGAGAGCAGATAAAGAAGGGAGAGTGAGATAGGCACAGGAACAGAATAAAGAGAAAAGTGAGAGTCACTTTGCACTGACAGGACACCTCCATTTGCTACTGTTGGTCTCTTTCTTCATGCAAACTTCCCACCACGTGACAGTTCCATTCATCCCCAGGTGTGCATGATCTTCAATGCTGGAGAGCTAACCCTGGTGGAATATGGGAGTAATGATACCCTGGGTTCTGTACGTACTGAATTCATGAACCCCCACCTCATCAGGTAACCCAACAAGGTTCTCTAAATTTTTTTTTTAAAGATTTTTTATTTATTTATTTGAGAGAGAGAGAATGAGAGAGAGCACATGAGAGGGGGGAGGGTCAGAGGGAGAAGCAGACTCCCTGCTGAGCAGGGGGCCCGATGTGGGACTCGATCCAGGGACTCCAGGATCATGACCTGAGCCAAAGGCAGTCGCTTAACCAACTGAGCCACCCAGGCGCCTGGTTCTCTAAATTTTTGAAACCCCAAAGAATTCCTTTTTAACTTCTAACTCCTGTATCCTCAAGATTAATCTAAAAACCTCATCCCATATGGTACTTCAGGGCCCTTGATAAACATCTCAATGGCCCAAGCTCATTCTGCCTTACCTCACCCTTCATGTTTCAGTGTCCGTATTAATGAGAGGTGTCAACGAGGAATGGAAGACAATAAGAAATTGGCTTATCTTGTTGATATTAAGACTATTGCTATAGGTGAGTAAGACTCTCTCATAATTCTGATAACAAAACAGATGTTTATAGTACGCTTCCATGTCACAGGATTGTGTATGGTGGAGAATCCAGGAATCCGAGAGGCACCAGGTAAATGTGTGACCCTGCTCTTACAGAGGATGTGTGAAGTGTTCAAATCCGTGTGTGCGAGTCTGCATCTGGCTATGTAGATACAGATACAGATACACTGTTACATATATCGGCCTGTCCATATAATTATTTGTGTTCTCTGGGCATGTATCTTGGGGCTGGAAATTGTGAATTGTAGAGAGGAACCATTAGTAAATTTATGAATTTTCCTGTTTAGACTTCATAGGATAATGGACTATTTGAACCGAGAGGGGACTTATTTTCTGTAGAGTTTGTCATTAGTAGCCACTGATGACAAACTTTATTTGAATTTCACAAGTGTTCACGTAAATAAATAAATCTTATTTTATATATTAATAGTTAACTCTGTATCATGAAATGTTTCAAGCAGAGAAAAATGTATATAGAATAGCATAGTATTCCCTACAAAGTATAGAGAATAGTATATCCGTATAGTGTAGCTTGTTAAGAACAAGGGTCTGGAGTCAAACCTCCCAACTTCTGTAATTATACCCGTGTGGTCTTAGGTAAGTGTCTTAACCTTTCTGTATCTCAATTCCCTCATCCACAAAATGGGGATAAAAATAGTACCTACCTTATATGTAAAGCACTTAGACTAATGTCTGGCACATAATAAGCATTTAATAAATGTTAGCTATTAATAATATTATTATTAGTTGCATATTCATACCTAGTTCTATCATGTCCTGACCTTTCATATATTTACTTTGGATCTTTTATCTCTCCTCTTACTGAGGGACGTTTAAGTTGTTGGTTTTTCACTGTTTCCAGTGTTTCGGTTCTCTAAGGTTTATACCTAGAGTGGAACTGCTGAATCATAGAAGAGGTACATCTGCAATTTCACTAAATATTTCCAAATTACTCTCCAAAGAGATTGTACCAATTTACATTCCCACCAGCAGTTAGAGGTCCCAGTGTTCTGCATCCTCTGCAATACTTGAAATTGCTTGACTTCATAATTTGGCTCACTCTGACGTATGTGAAATAATATCTCATCATATTAGTTTTTGTTTGTTCATTTGTTTATTGGCCGCTTGGATTTCTTCTGCTGCTTATTGCCAGTTCTTATCCCTTGCCTATTTTTAAAATCAGGCTGTCTTTTCCTTATTGACTTGAAGGAGTTCTCTGTATGTGTGTATCTAGCCTTTGATGGTCATTTGTATTGCGGATATTTTGTCTCAGCCTCTTTTAGTGTTCAGACATTTTTAATTTTAATGTAGTTCATTTAATCACTTTTTAAGTAATAGTTTGTGATTTTTGAGGTCTCATTTAAGAAGTTTCCCTGGGGCACCTGGCTGGCTCAGTCAGAGGAGCATGCGACTCTTGATCTCAGGGTCATGAGTTTGAGCCCCAAGTTGGGTGTAGAGATTACTTAAATAAATAAAACTTTAAAAAAAGAAAAAGTTTCCTACTCCCTCTTATATCTTAATATTTTTAAAGTTTGCTTTTTATCTGGAATTTTTGTGCATAATGTGGGTATGGATCATATTTAATTTTTTTCCGTATTTAACAACTTATTGGAAATCCATTCTGTGCTCACTAATTTGTAATGTCACCTCTTATCAATCAAGTTTCCAAATACATATGGGTCTATTCTTAGGTTACTTTTACATTTCATGAGTTTTATATTTCATATCAGATTGCTGAGCTCAGAAATGTAAGTGTCTGTAATGGAAATAATATAGTCTGGTGGCCCATGCTCCAGTGGCAATAATGAGCTGTGAGACTTTGGACAAGTCACTACACTCCATAGGGCTCATCTTCAATAGTATATAAAATGACAGAATTCTTCTCTTAACCTTTTTTGGTTACCGGCCCCTTTCAATATCTAATTAAAATCATAGATCATATCCCAGAAGAAAATACATAAACATATACTTTCGTATATAATTTCAGGGTGTTCACAGAAATAGGGTCCCCACAGTTCTAGTATTCTATGATTCTACTTATAATTTGGGACATTAAAACATGGCTTTATCATTTTGCTTTTTAATTAAAGGAAATTTCATTTTTAAGTTGGTCTTCCCAGTTGTAGACATTAGCTGGCGTTTGGTCTTTAGCTTCAACACGTATGACAAAGGTAGGACATTGCGCATTGGTAACGTATACAAATGAGAGTTGTGAATGGGCTGTGTTCAAGAGACTCCCTGAAAGCATCCTAGCCAATCCAAAGTGGTCTAAGTGTGAGCATATCTTATATTTTCAACAAAATTCACACCAATCTGAAATACACATCCTCAGCACACTCAGCCTAACTTTAGTCAGAGGTTCCTCCTGTTTGGTCTGTGTGCTTTCTCCACTGTTTGCCCCTCGTGCTCTGACGTCATAGGCACTCAAAGTGCAGGTAACTTCTTGGAGCAGATATGTTCATCAAGGTCATTTCATCCATCAGCTTTCTCTCAGGGGTGTGCTGGAATTGGGGCTCTTCCTTAATGTGCTCAGTGCTGCCTTCCAGAGGATTTCGTGAGTAACGGAAGCCAGTTGCTCTGATCTGTTCTGACCTGCTATGAGACAACCCCAAGAGTCCCAGAGAGGAATCACATTTCTTGATGGACCTAGACCTTTTGAGTTAACTAGAGAGTTAAACAAAACCTCTACAGTTTTAGTAGAAGTCTAGTATTGTAAGCATCTTAGCAGAATTATGTCGTATTCCTCATACTCTAGACTGAGCCCAACATATGATTGAAGGCAAGACTTGGGCAGCCGGCCTCGTGGCCTATATATGATTATGTGGAATCTGTCTCCTTAACCCTGTCTCCTTTACTTTGTAGTGGATCTGATTGGTGGCTACAACATTGGCACCATCAGCCACGAGAGCCGTGTGGATTGGCTGGAACTTAATGAAACTGGGCATAAGCTTCTATTCAGGGACCGGAAACTTCGTGTAAGGCCTTAGCCATTGAGTCATCCGTACAGGATGTGGTACTTAGTACCTGCTACCAGAGATTGCGGGGGGGCGGGGGGGGCAGGATAGGACATAATTTCTTGGTGTGCTATGCCTTTAACATAGCAAAAGGCACAGAAGAATCAACACTGTGTCTGCTGTCATAGCCCATCCTGTATTACCTCTAAGGAGATGGTATCATGATGGCACCAGAGTCAAGAGGGGAATTTGGGAGCTGATTTCTCTTTTACTATTCACAAGTCTCTGCCCTCATGAAACTGCCTCACCCCCACATGCCTAGCTGACCTTTACCCACACCTGTTCCAGTGTTCCTCAGCTACACTTACCTGACAGCATAAAAGCTGGCCTGAGGACAGTCTCCCCCAAGCCCCTTATTGACTCTGATCTCAATATGGTATCACCAAAGAGCTCAGCCTCAAGGGCAAAGAGACTATCTGGTGATTTTTCATTTCATTTTCACTGTGATGTGAAAGCCACACTGCAAATTTCCAGACCATTTAATGTGCCTGGTGGCCTTACTTTTGTAATCCAGTCTGGTAGCTCTGGCCCAGAGTTACTCTAAGGATGAAAGTCTGACCTTCACCTAACTTAAATTTCTGGGTGTAGCTCTTTGCTCACTTGGTCATCTCTTACTGGCCAGAGTCAGGATATACCGAGTCAACATAAACTTCAAGTGTTGATGGTTAGTAAGCTTTGAAATTCAGCATCTGCCTGACTGGTGGGTCAGTTGGCCACATTTCACCATTAGAGAAATGGTCAAGATCAGAAGACACCCCATAGCCCCTTCTAATTGTGCTGTCTACCTCTTCTTTCTTCAGTTACATCTATATGATATTGAAAGCTGCGCTAAGACAATGATCCTCAACTTCTGCTCCTACGTGCAGTGGGTTCCAGGAAGTGATGTGCTGGTAGCTCAGAACCGAAACAGCTTGTGTGTGTGGTACAACATTGAGGCACCTGAGAGGGTCACCACGTCCTCTATTAGGGTACGTCGGCACCAGGGTACCTCAGACAAAGTGGCAAACTGATCAGTTAGGGCCCTGAGGAAGCTCCAGCGGTTATTTGGTTTTCTCTGTCCCACCACCTATCATGTCTGTGATAGAGTTGGCAAGTAAAGCTTCGATCCTTCCCCACAATGGCCTAGGTCCCAAAACCATCCTTGTTCAGATTCCTGACACTATATTAGGTCCTTGGAACGTGCCTGTCTGTTACAGTGGCCCTGGGAATTCACCAGGTCATAGTGAGTTCTCTTAATCTGGAAGAGCACCCCTAGGAGGGGCCGTTCTGTGTCAGTTCCTGTGTGTGGATTCTCTGTTGTAAGCCATTCAGAGCTCCTTTTTTATCAGACTGAAAATCAGCCACTCTCCTATCCTGCCGGCATCACGTACATTCCAGTGATCTTCCAAAATCTGGGAGGATCCCATGCAAACAAGAGAGGCCCCTGTGCTAGGGTAGGATGACTGGTGTGGGTAGAGAGCACAGGATAGTTTCTTTTTTTTTTTTTAAAGATTTTATTTATTTATCTGAGACAGAGAGAATGAGAGAGACAGAGAGCACATGAGAGGGGGGAGGGTCAGAGGGAGAAGC